TCTCCCCCTCCCAACCCTCCTCTCACCTCCCTTGGCTGCTGGGTCCCAGTGGTTGACACTGGAGTGTGACTGGACAGTCAGGTGGGCGGAGCCTTGATGAAGGTCCTCAGTGGCACAGGTATGGTGGTCTCAGGCCTCGGAGTGCCCCTGGCATGGCTCTGTTCAGCTGCTCAACTGCAGGTGGGAGGGGTGGGGGAGAGGACCATCCTCAGACCGGAGCGAAAATGTGCGAAAGAGGTGCCACGCAGGACTGACCTGAGCCTGGGTTTTAGAGCCCCTGACAGGCCAGAACCCAGGGTAGGGACTTAATTTAATCGTGCCAACCCTCTGCAGGCAGGCTTGGAACTACTAAGCGATTTTGGTAGCAAGCAGCCGCCCAAGGCTTGAACCCAGGGCTGAGATCAGGCAGGAGAGCTACTTATAAGCTGCTTGCTGTGGGGGGTGAGCAGTCGCCACTCCACAAAGAGCAGGCACCTTCCTGGTCATCGGGGAAAAGGTTTGCTCCTATTTGCTGGGAGAGCCCCGGGAGCTCCCAAGACATCTGCGGCCAAGGCCCTGGCATCTCAGGAAAGTGGGGTGTCAAACATCACCTTGAGCAGCCCTCATAGGCAGAGGCAAATCCCCGCAGCTCCTGGAGCGACCTCTAGTGGCCCTCCTCGTGTAACACTCAACACACACATTGCCTTACCAGCTGGGCAGAGAAGTGCTGCCTCCTGCACCCATTTAGTGGTGGAGTGACTGGGTGCCTCGGAGCTGGCATTTCCAGGCCGAGAGGACAGCCCAGCCTCACCCTTCTGCACTACCCTCAGCCATCCATCCACTGACTCTTCTCCTGCTACCAACACTCCTTGCCCGTCAGGGTGACCTGTGTCTCGTGCACCCAAGGATGGGGTCAGAGGTACCAGAAGGCGCTCTTAGTGCCCTCCACCACGTCAAACAGAGGCAGCACTTCAATTCCTCTGAGGCGTGACTCCTCAGTGAAGAAGCCATCCCATAAGTGAAAGGGGCTACCCAGAACCTCCCACTGATGTCCGTTTTAGAGCTGGCAGGGACGGGGTGGGGAAATAATTTGCCCAAGTCACGTGGCATGTTGCAAATGAAGCTGGAGCTCCAACCGGACCCCTGCTTCCCAGATTCGCACTCCTGTCCTCTGCAGCGGGACGCCGCCGCGGCCAGAAGCAGCCTGGACAGCGGGGCACTCCGAGGGGGAGCCGGGGATCGGGCTGCAAGACAGGGACTCTGGGAGTCCGCTTCTCGGAGATCTTGGCGAAATCCGGCAATGCGTGGAAGGCAGAGTAGAGTCCTTCATGCCCGGAGGCTGAAGGAAACCGTCTCTTTCTCCACATGAACGCAGGGCCTGGCCTTTCTCTTCTCTATGTGTCAGCAAGACCTCCCCGCCAGGGAACAAACTCTCTGTGCCAAGTCGGCTCTCGGTGCGAAGTCGGGCTGGACACTCACGAGGATGCCGTGGGTCCCAAGGGCTCGCCCGAGAGGTACGGGGGTCGGTGAGCACAGCAGGGCCTCAGCTGCGCTCGCTGACCTCCCGGAGGCTCACCCGGCCCACGCGGCCCGTCCCTCCTCAACACAAACCTACCAGTTGAAAGGCGGCACGGCCGTCTCCATCTTGGTCGGCGCCGCCCGCCCATGCGGCGCGCTCAGCCCTCTGGGAAACCGAGTGTTCATCCGGCTGAGCGCCGCGGCTTCCACGCCCGCAAAACTACACCTCCCACAAGGCACTAGGCCGCCGCTCCCGGGGACGTCTAGTCGTTTGCGCATGCGTCTTCCTCTCTACTCCTCGACCCCCGCGGCCCTGGCGTCCGGCTCAGAAACAGCCCCGGAACCGCGGCATTTGTTGGAGAAACGAGACCGGAATTGACCAAGGAGAACAGGAAGAGGAGGGGCCAGGCCGACAATTCCCAGAATGCTCGAGGGCTAACCGACAGCAGGGCCGGCTTCCCGTGGTCTCAGCGCCACCTGGTGGAAACCGCGAGAACAGCGGCCGCCTCAGGCAGGAAGTGCGTCATCTCGTAGGGAGGGCGAAGGGCGTTCCAGACACTTCCGGTCATGACCGGAAGAGACGACTGTAGCTCTTCCGGGGCTTCGGGGCATCGAGGCGGGGCTCCCCAGTATCTCACGGTCCCGTTCAGGGCAGACGCGAAGGCGGTCCCGGCCCGAGTTGAGGACGCGGGGTGTTGACCTCTGGGCCACGGGTGAAGGGGGCGGCCCTGCTGGATCCGCTGGCTGGGCCGACGCTTTCCCACCCCGAGGGATTGGCTGGGCCCTGGCTGCAAACTTGCGGGGCGTCGCCCTTGGGGACGCTGGCGGGCCACCCGCGCAGCCCTGGGCCCTCAGCTCTGGCGCATGGGTTCGGGCTCCGGGAGGGCCTGAGGCGGCCCCCGGGGGCGCTGCGGGGAAGCCAGGGCCAGGCCCTTCCGGGTCCCCGGTCCCCCGTCCTCCCGGGCGGGATGGAGGCCGCCGAACGCTCCTCAGGCTTCCAAGTCAGCGTGGCTGGGTGGGCGGCAGCCGGAAGGGTCTGGCCTCCGCCATGCTGGGGAGCCGGCAGCCTCGCCTCGCCGGCCCTCGGTGCCCGCCCCGAAAGGAGAGCGAGGGCCCAGGTTCTCCCCTCGGCAAGCCGCGTCTCCCTTGCCCCCGGGCCCTCGTTGGTTGGCACCTTGTGCCCCTTCTCTGCTGGGAGCGTTCATGCCCCGCACACTCCAGGAATCCGAGTTCCCTTCCCCTTGGCGGCCAGACCGCTGGTCTGTCTGAAAGGCTCGAGGCAGAGCTCCCTTCCCAGGGCCTGCGGTCCTGGCATCCGCTGGGAAACAGGATTCAAGGACCTGCTGTGGCCCGGCCGAGAGAAAAGGAGGGGAAGCAGGGCCCGCCCCCGGCCCCCGGCCTGCTGTGCGCCTGTGGGATGCGTTAGTCCTTAGACTGCTCTTCCCTCCCGACGGAGAACACAGCGGGAAGTGGAGAGGGGCCTCCTTGGACCATCCTCTTCTCCCAACCAGTGCAGGCTTGGAAGTTGGGAGCAGCAGCTGAGGGCCTGCTGAGAGACTCTGTAACCCCCCAAAATGCAGGGCTGGGGACAGTTTCCAAATTGGCCTGCAAAGAGGCTGCTGGGAGCCCTAGACATAAATTCCCAGTGACTCCTTTCCTCCAGGGGTCAGTTAAAGGTGCCAGCACCTTCCTCTCCCCAACTAGGGAAAAGCAGCTGGACCCACAGCAAGCACCACCCCACGCTGTGAGGGAAGATAGGAGAGCCTAGACCAAGCCCATTGGTTGGAGGAGCTCAGACAGGGAAAGGGTGGGGGGAGTGCAGGGGATGCTTAGCCCCAGAGCCTGTCCACCCACCCACTGCTCACTGGTGGGCTGGGTGGGCTCCCGAGGAGGCTGAGGTCTTTCTTCCCCTCCAGCACCTCTGAGATGTGGCTCAGGCCCTGAACCACCAGCTCCTCAAAGGAACACTTACAGGCACTGCATGAGCAGGGCAGAGACCCTCAAATGCTCGGGAGGGGGCAGTGTGTCCATCCTTTACCATCCCTCAGGAGGAAGAGGAGTCCTGCAGCCCCTGCCCCGAGCCCATCTCCTACTGCACTCTGCTGCCCAACCCCTCCTGCCCTGCCCACCCGCTGGCACTGTGCCTCCTGTGTGCCCAAAGGGCAGGGTGGAAGTGTCTGCAGGCAACACAGATCCCCCAGAAGGGCCCTTGCTACCCGAAGTTGCTCCCTGGATTAAACTCAAAAGCAAAGTTCTAAGCAACCCCAGCCAATGGGATGGGCACCTCTCAGCCAAACACATTCTAAAGTAAACCTGAAAAGCTATTTCAGGCCGATGACCATCGGTGCCGCATTATACCCTCTTCCTGTGAGTTTAGGCACAGCTGACCAGCAGTCACATTAAAACACAGAGACCTTAGGCCAGGTGCGGTAGCTCACGCCCGTAATCCCAGCACTTTGGGAGGCCGAGGTGGGTGGATCACCTGAGGTCAGGAGTTTGAGACCAGCCTGGCCAACATGGCAAAACCCTGTCTCTACTAAAAATACAAAATTAGCTGGGTATGGTGGTGCAAGCCTGTGGTCCCAGCTACTTGGGAGGCTAAGGCAGGAGAATCGCTTGAACTTGGGAGGCAGAGGTTGCAGTGAGCCAAGATTATGCCATTGCACTCTAGCCTGGGCGACAAGAGCGAAACTCCCTCTAAAATAAAAATAAAACAGAGACTTTAAGACTCACAAAAAAGACTCTGTAGCAGTAAGATGCCAACGTGACAGCATACCCTGAAAGAAATCGAAGTATTTTACCCCCAAAATATATTTCTTTGACGCGTTTTGAAATTGTCCCGCAAAGCTGTCTCTTGTGGGGAAAATCTAAATTCTATACAGAATCCCCCTCCCTCTCCAGGTCCATTTGCTGACCCAGGAGAGAATTAACTAAGATTCTGGCACCTTTTTAAGTCTGATATGAAACATTTACAATCTGGAGGCTTCATCTGCATAAGAATCTCGGTCTTCACAACTCCTTTAACCCATTAGATAATGGACTAATCCAGAGTCCACTCTGTTGATTCCAGGACTTTAGACAGACTCAGCCAATTGCCAATCAACGAGAACATCTTTTAATCCACCTGTGACCTGAAAGTCCCTCCCTTTCAAGCAAGTTACCCCACCTTTCTGGCTAAACCAGTGTACATCTCAGATGCACTGACCGATGTCTTATATCGCTAAAATGTATACAAGCAAGGTGTAGCCTGACCACCTTGGGCCAGGTTCTCAGGACCTCCTGGGGCTGTGCCACAGGCCTTTGGTGTTCATATTTGGCTCAGAATAAATTTCCCAAATTTTACAGTGACCTCTTTTGTGGACACCAGGGATCCCAACCCACCCACCTCGCCCTGGACCCGACACAGTTCACAGAGCCGAGGCCCAGCCTCGCCGGACTCTCGTGCCCTCTGGCCACCCCGTAGGTCTCAGACGCCGCTGGCACTGAAGGACTGAACAGCCTGGTAGCATGCCTGATGTTCCTTCTTTATTAAATGATGGATTCAGGATGTCGTGATTACAGTTGAAGGTGACACGTTAGAAAGGGCAGGTGCATGAAGGCAGAGAGAGTGCCCACAGACTCGGCTCTCGACCAGGGCAGAGGGATCAAGGATTAAAAAGGCTTGAGCTGTGCAGCCCACAGGACGGGCGAGCTGGGCAGACACAGCCCCCCAAGTTGGCCAAGCTGAGTCTCTGCTCGAGTGGCTCCCGGGAGAGGCCCGGCTGAGCAGGCAGAGCTTCCTGGGACCCCTTCCCTGCAGTCCCAAAGGCCCAGGCCCCGTCTCCACTCACACACGCCACCTACATGTGACGTCAGCCCTGAAAAGGTAACAGGAGAGTTCAGAACAAAAAACCTCGAAAATAAAAAGGCTACGTGTAGCAGAGTAATACCGGAAACGTTATATACACAGGCGGTGACGGCCCCCTCAAAGCGTCCGGGTCGCTCGTGGGGGTGGGGGGCGCAGCAGGGGTCCCTGCGGCCAGAGCGGCGGGGCCTCAGTACACGGAGCTGTTCCGGATGCCACAGCACAGCACCATGCTCAGGATCATCTCGAAGATCTGCGAGAGGGGGGCGGCAGCGGCGGCGGGGTCAGCACGGCCCGAAGGAGGGGCAGCCCGGAGAACAGGCCCTCCCACCCCGCGCGCTCACCATGATCACGGCGACCACGATGGCCGCGATGCCGATGAGGTACAGCTTCCCGGAGAAGAGCTCGTCGATCTTCTGGTGGCAGTCCTCCTGCAGGGGTGGTCAGGTGCCAGCAGTCAGGGACCCGGCCTCCGCGCCCCGTTGTCACACAGCAGTCCGTGGTCATCACAGAAAGTGTGGACGGGAATCCGAGGAACAGCTCCCCACCCCCACCCCACTCCAGCCCACCCCAGCCCACCCCCATCCACCCGGCCTCTGCTGGCTTTTTATCTTCCACCCGTTTTAACATAAACGTGAAATGCCCGGGACACACTGTGCCCTTTTCCATTGCCGTCAGTCATCAGTGCCACTAGTGCCCTGAAGTGTCACTGATGTGCACCCACTGACAGCTTCCACTGGGGCCTCGGCAGGAAACTTCCACAGGGCACTCACTACCCCAGGGACGGGCTGTCAGGGGCATCCACACCCACAAGTGCACACGTGGGGCTGTGGGTACAGGTGAGCTCCCACCCCCGAGAGCCTCCACCTCCTGCATCTGGCATGCGAAGCCCTGGGGGCCTGCTTTCCTTGCGGGCCAGAGGTGGTCCCACCCCGACCCTCCTGGCAGAGCAGCCCTGAGGGGGCCACGCCACCCGGTGTGGTCGCTCCCCTGCCAGGGCTGGAGGGGTGGCCGTGTGGCCTGCCCACCCCAAGACCGCACCCAGGGGCTGGGAGATTCGGGGGATCAGGCCCATCCCTGCCGGCCCCCAGAAGCCCCCCGCCTCGCACACCTTGAAGAGGTTGGTGATGATATTGCTGCCCGAGGGACACAGATTGTTCTTGAATATCAAGGTGCTCATGGTGGAGAGCGTGCTGGAGCCACAGCAGTTGAGCTGCAGAGAGCAGGGTATGAGGTCAGCCCTGGGCAGGCCCAGGGGACGGTGGCCAGGGGTATGTGGTGCCCCCTACTGTGGAGGCATCCAGGGCCAGCCTTCTTCCCGCTGAGCTGCGCTGCTCAGAGATCCCCGTGCCCTGGGCCAGCCTGGCCCACTAGGTTCCCACCCGAGGACCAGCTGAGCCCAAGGGTCCTAGAGGTCCCCAAGGCGCCTCCTGCTCCTGAGGTCTGGGCGGGCCCAGGGGTGGTCCAGGAGGAGACGCAGCCTGCCCGGGTTCCCGCCCCGCCCCGCCCCGCCCCCGCGCCGCGCCGCACCGTCTCGTGGAAGGTCTTCACCACGGCCTTGGCGTTGTTGGTGTTATTGTCCACCACGGCCTGTTGCAGGGCCTGGTCGTAGAACTGCTTCACATCCTTGGCGATCTGGGGGAGGGCTGCGGTCACTGGCACAGCTGGGACCTCCCCCACCTTGTCCTGGCCCCACGCACCTTTCCCAGGCTCTCCCAGGGCGGGGCGGCTTCCAGGCCAGACCTCTACACTCTCGGCTGCCCCGGGGGCGCTGGGACACGCAAGGGAGGCTGGCCTTGTGCTCTGCCCCCATGCTGCCTCCTCCATACAGCCCCTGGAGACTCTCCCACCAAGTGGGTCCCAGGAGGAGCCCAAAGAGTACCCCCCACCCGCGAAAGGAGAGGAGGGTGCCCCTCCCACGCACCCCGCCCTACCCCCCCCCCCCCCCCCCGCGCACCCAGACTCACCTGGTCTTTGTTGACAAAACCCCAGATGCCAGCGGCCACCTCACAGGCAAACAGGATGACCAGACAGGTGAAGAACTGGAGCCATGCAGTGGCCAGAGGGAGGAAAGAGGGCAGGCTGTGGGCGGGGCCCCAGGGCAGGCGACACCCAGGCACCCAGCAGGCTGTGTGAGGGACCAGCCCACCACCTGACCAGGAATGAGCGCCATGTGTGAGCCCCAGAGCACAGAGCCTAACACTCAGCCGCAGGAAGCAGACGTCAAAGCCCACGGCTTCCCTGCCAGCACCAGCACCCTGGGGTGGATGGGGCGGGGCCTGAGGTTTGGGGTCACAGCTGGTGAGTCCGAGATGTCTGCAGCCCCGGGAGGCATGTGCAGCAGCCTGACCCCGGACTCAGACCTGGTCTTCCCCACCCCCTTGCTCCTGCTCCCCATGGGAAGGGAGCCATGGGATGTGCCTCAGTTTCTCCCACTGGAAACACGGGCACAGGCTCCCCTTTCCTGGACTGACCAGGCCCTGGATAGCACAGCCAGGCCTGGGCTGTCCATTGCGGGCGGTGTGCCCAGGGACGCCCAGGGCTGGCCTTAGAGCTAAAACCTGTTATGTTTGTGGCTATTTACTGACGAAGAAAAGAGATCACTTAGGAACTGGCCATGAGGAGATCAAGCACAGTGGGATTTAATTTAAAAACCAAATGGGAAAACTGGGGCACGGGAGCCGCCACCACTGCCTCCCCCAGAAGTCCAGGTTCCGCCCTGAGCACCAGGGCCGGACACAGCCCCCTGTCCCTCCCCAGGCCGGGCCCCGCCCAGGCGCAGGCCCACCTCCCTGCCTTACCGTCCCCAACAGGCACTGGGACTCCTGGATGGCTCCATAGCAGCCCAGGAAGCCAACGAACATCATCACGGCGCCCACAGCAATGAGGATGTAGATGCCTTGGAGGAGAGCAACACTGGGTGGGCGCCTGCACACTCATCACAGCCCGAGACCCCGGAGGGTCCCGGGTGCCAACCCCACCGCGGGCTGCCCAGCGAGAAAGACCTGGGGATGCCGACTGCCACGGACGAGCAGTGAGGGCCCGCATCCCAGCTCGGCCCTGCGAACTCTCTGTGCCTCAGCGTCCTCTCCCGTGACACAGAAGGGAGACTGAGACGACCGGGGGGGACTGTGTGCCTCCTGAGTACTCTGAGTGCTGGAGACGGGTGCTTCGCAGGGCCAAGGCCTGTGATATGGCCACGGCCCACCACCTGCCACACCTGCCAGCCACGGTCCCCCACCCACCACCCACAGCCCACTACCCACCAAACCCGCCACCCACAGTCCCCCACCTGCCACCCACTGCCTAAACCTGCTCCCAGTGCCTCTGGGACTTGGCATGGGGTCTGAGAAGGACCCCTCATCTTAGGTGGGAGTGGCAGCTGAAAGCGCAGGCCAGGGTCGAGGGTCAGCCCAGGGTCCGGAGCCAGTGCAGTGCGTGAAGTGGGCAGGGCCCTGCGGCTCTGCCCCCGAACTTGGCAGCACAGTGGTACTTCCGTTAGGGGACCCGCATTTGAACCTGGCTGCTGCGTGGAGGGATCAAGTTGGCTTCCTAGGCTCTGGGCCTGAGGGCCAGCACCCCACCTGGGCCCTCTCCACCAGAGCGGGAAGGCCGGCCCTCCCAACTCCCCCGCAGCCCCTGGCTGCGCAGCGTGCTCCTGGGGAGGGAGAAGGGGCTGCCCAAGGGTGGGAAGCGACCTGTGGGCCCAGCCACCCAGGGCCCTGTGCCCTCGGGACAGCCGTCCGTGTCTCTCAGGGCCTGCCTGCCCCCATCCTTCAGTAGGCGCCCCGTCCCCAGTTGCTGTGGCAATGCAGCAGCCAGCCCAGGGGAGAAGGTGCCTGGGGCAGGACCCATGCGGGTAGAGAACACGCCCAGATCTGGGCCCCACCGCCCGGCCTCCTCTGGCCAGATGAAGCCTCTGCCGGAGATGCCTTGCAAGTGGTACCTGCTCATAGGCACGGTGCCTAGGAGCCAGCTCTCCCTCCCTCAGACCCTGGGACTCCTGGGTTGCAGGGCTGGGTTCACCGAGGGGTGCAGGTCAGGAGGGGCACTGGTCGGGAGGGGCGCCTTGCCTTTTTTGGTCCTGGAGGGTCTGACAGGAGGTGGGAGGCCCAGGCTCAGAGCCTGCCAGAGCCCCTGCCAGGCCCCAGCCCCACCCTAGGCTCCTCTCTAAAGCCCGCGGGCCTCACCCACCGCACACACAGCATCTCTGAGGGACCTGCGGAGTGAGCCTGGCGCTGGATAAAGAGCCCTTGGTAGGGCCTGGCCCGAACTGGGGACAGCAAGAGGCTCCAGAAGGCCGATTCTGGGATGGGGAAGGACTTGGTGGCCAGCGGGGCTCCAAGGGGTCCCCACGGGGTGGCAGATCCCATGTCACAGGTGGCAGGACCTGCAGCCATGCGGCCAACACAATGGCCAGGGAAGCCAAGCCAAGGGCAGAGGGCGGGGCTCTGGGGCTGGAGCTCTGATGTGGCCACGGTGACACCGTGCCGGTCAGATAGCTGCTTCTAATGCCAGCCTTGCCCTGGCACTGTGGGGGGGCAGCACCACTGCCCCATGGGGGCTCAGCACAGCCTGTGACCTCTGCTTCTGCAGACGGTGGGGCACAGGAAGGAGGCCTGGCCCACCTCTCTGGGGTGCTCCGTCCCCTGTCGTTGCCCTGGCCTGAAGACAGGTGACCCTTCAGCTACTCTGGGGCCACATGAGGCCGGATGCTGCCCCAACAGCAGGAGCTGTTCCATCCATGAGGCTTGGCCGTCGGGTGCCTGGAGGGTGACCCCTTCAAGAACACCTGCCCCAGGCTGCCTCACACCCACACGCCCCAGGTCCTGGAGAAGGGGACACGGCGGCAGGGGCCGCCTCTTCTGACCCTGGACAGGAGTACGAGGAACGTGTGGGGCAGCCTTGTTCCAGGCCGGGGATGCTGCAGTTGTCACTGGCTGGACTGGTGGCCCTGGAGGGCAAGGCCCAGTATTGCTGGGAGGACCTTCTGGGCCCCGTACATCCCTGATGATCTGGGGAGCGGGAAACAAGAGGCCCGGGAGGGGCCTCCCAGTAGAGACGCATCCTCAGGGATGGGAGGGTGCTGGCCAGGCTCTGCCGCCCACAGCCCGGGCACATGGGCAAAGTGTTCCGAGGATGCCAGCAGGAGCGCCCCAGTCGCCTGCAGGGGGTGGTCTCCACACGAGCCCTGGGACAGCAGCCTTTCCCCTTCTCCTCCTGACACTCACACCCGTGAGGGCGCCACGGCCCCGAGAGAGGCCAGGAACCTATGGGAGGGCCATGGGACCCTCTCCAGAATCGGCTGGGCCCAGAAGCCCTCTGTGGGCCGCAGGCTCCTGTCTCTGGGGAGGACAGGGGCCGTCCCTGTCAACGCTGTCTGGACCCCAGCACTGGCCATCTGACCCATGAGATGGGCAAGGGGAAGAAGAAACGTGTGAGGGCCCTGGGGAGACTGGACAAGAAGGCAGGGCGGGGTGTGAGCGGGACCGTTTGGGCCTCCTGGGGCCCTGGTTCAGCAACCCAGCCAAGCGGCCTCTGTAACTGGTGGGGGGCCCGGCCTGGGGGCCACTGCCGGCTGAGGGGAGCCCTGAAGCCTGGGGACACACAGGCTGCCCACCTCTCCCACCCCTCAGCCTTCGAGAGCAGCGGGACTTTCCCAGGGGCCTCCTTTAAAGGACAGAAGCATCTCAACAAATGCTCCAGAGCCCCACCAGCGCCAGCCCTGCCAGGGGCACCGGGAGGAAGGGCACTGCTCTGCACAGTGAGCTGGCCCTGCTCCTCCTCCTCCTCCTCCTCCTCCTCCTCCTTCTCCATTACCCGGGCTGCTGGGGGCAGGGAGGGCAGCCCAGTCCCCCACAAGAAGCCTAATAAGGCAGCAAGGTACAGCTGCCTGCAGGGGCAGCTGAGTCATGCCACCCCCTGGGGGCATCTCCACCCCTCTCCACCCCTCCCGTACCCTATTTCCACCCCTCCCCTCTCCTGTCTCCACCCCTCAACTGCCCAGTCCCCTACTCCTTCTCCACCCCTCTCTGGGTTCCATCCCTCAAGCTCCATCCTTCCCTCCCTCCCTCCAGGGCGGCCTGAACTGCTCAGTGAGACCCAGGCATCCAGCCCCGCCCTTCCCAGGGAGCCTCCCCAGAAATAACCCATGCTTAAAATAAGCAAGGTCTCGACACAGTCCCCTCCCATGCCCAGCTTCCACCTCCTGCCCTGGCTGAGCCCAGAGATGTGCTGGGGTCCCAGCAGGCCACAGTCCCACCTCCGTCTCAACCCTAGCTCCCAGAGCCCTTTCCAGGACCACCTCTCTTCCCAGACACACCATGCCTGACTGACTTTCGCCCTCCATGTCCCCACCCAAAAGGCTAGGCCCTGCCTCCTCCTAGAAGCCCTCCCTAAACGCGTCTGAGATCGCCACATAGACACTCACCTACGTAGAAGGTGTTGGGCGCAGGCTTGTCTCCCAGCTCCAGATACAGGAGGTTGGTGGTCTGCGGGTCATGCCGGAGCCACAGGGCCACACCCAGGATCACGCCTCCAGCCAGCTGGGAAAGATCAGGAATGTGTCACGTGCAGCAAGAGCACTGCAGCACAGCATGCCCCCCACCCCACGGCCCCAGCAGCCTCCTGTCTGGCTGAGCCACCTGCCGGCCCCCACGCAGGGAGCAGCTGTCAGCTCTGCTGCCCTGCCCCAGGAGCCCCTGGAGTCAGGAACCAGGGGGCGGGTGCTTTGGTTGCCGTCAACCTGGAGCCTGGCCCTGCCCTGCACCTGTGGAGTGCCACTCCAGGGTGGGACAGCCAGGAAGACACGCGACGCTGGTGAAATCGGCCTCTCAGATGAAAACAGAATCCTTCTTTACCATAAGTGTGTCCCAAATACTACACGGGACACACAAAAACAGAACGTGGTGCTTATCTGAAGTTCAAGGTTCACTGGACACCCTGTAGTTTCACCTTCCGTATCTGGCCAGAGGTGATTCCAGGACCTGGGTATCCCAGGAACACTGGAACCTCCTGCATGCGTGTGGCACTGCCCCAGGAGTTTGAGCTCGGTAGGCACTGCCTCTCTCTGGGGGTGCTGAGAACTCTGGAGTAGGGGTGCCCCATGTTTGCTGCCAGGAGGAGGGGGTAGGATTTGATGTTACCAGGCCGAGCCTTAGGCGCCAGGGCCTGCGGGGTTTGCGGGGTACGTCCCTGGGGCCATCAGCACTGGGAAGTGAAACTTGGGAGGAAGGAAGCTGCTGTGGTCTCCAACACGTGATGGAGGCTCAGCGGCTGGGGCAGGAAGCAGGGCTGTGCTTGGAGACTGGTGGGCGGGGATGGGGCTCAGAGAGGGGACAGATCCCCAACGCCTGGTTGTCCTGGGTGCACACCAACGCTAGCCAGTTGGGGTCTTCCCTCGAGATTGGGCCAGCCCAGGCCATTCTGAGCATCTGACCAGGCCAGGCATGTGCCCAGGCCACCCGCCAGAAACACCGAGGCCCCTCTCCCTAGGGTCAGTGCCCAGCCTTCTGCTGGTGGGAGGGGACACAAGCTTGTCCTCTGCTGTCCCTGGTGCCTAGCACCATGCAGGGCACACTGCAGACATGGGATCCCCATAAATGACCAGTGACGCTGAGTCCCTGCCCTCCTCCACTCCAGGACACCTCCTGCAGACGCTGCTCCCTGCGAGATGGGGTGGGGGCTGGGTCCCCTTCAGAGCCCTCTGGGGGTTTCCCCACAGCCCTCCAGCAGCCTGGGGACACTGCGTCTCTAGGACACCATCGGTCAGTTCCAGGGTCCCTGGCCCACAGCAGGAGATGCTCATTGCTGGACAGCCTGACTAAGTCAGCCTTTACCCCCGTTGCCCCAGGACAGCACGAGAGTCCCCTAAAACGTGGTCTGGCAGGCGAGCCACGCGCAGCCCTTGGGCAGGGACCACCCAGGCCAGGGGATGCTGAAGACACCTCCGGGGTCAGGGCCCCCAAGTGTGGCCACCGCCCGGCTCCCATAGGCTCGGGCAAGTCTGCCTTCCTCCTCCATGCCACTCTCCCTGACGGCCAGGCCCTGGGGGCTTCCTGGAGGAGGAGGCAGGGGGACATGAACTGAATCAGCCCATTGAGAAGGAACTCGGGGTGGCGAGGGGCACACCTCCGCCGCAGAGAACGCCGGCCCAGACGGCAGCTGCTCCCAGAGCTGGGTCAGAATGCTTGGTGCTGCCAGCAGCTGGGTGCCAGGCAGGTCCCATCCCAGCAGCTGAGGCCTTGCCTCACCAGCACCAGGCGCCCAACGCTGACCCCACAACAGGTGCAGGGCTGCCCGTCAACTGCAGAAGAAAAACTGAGACCACCACCTGGATGGCCCCACTCCTGCTCCGATGGCCCCGCCAGGGAGCATGGCCCCAAGATGGGGCTGTGCAGGGGGCTGTGCCAGGCACAGTGTGAGCCTCAGACCCCAGTACCATAGCCCTCGCCCAAGGAAAGCCCGGAGGACGCCCCAGGCAGGCTGGTTGAGGGCCCCGATAAGGGTTCCGGGGGTGTAGGAGCTGGGGGCTCCCCTCCCCCGGGACCTGAGCTGGGCCTGGCAAACAGTAAGGCCAGAGGGGACTGGGGGTGGTGGTGTGCACCGGTTACTCCAGCACCTTTGGAGGCTAAGGCGGGAGGATCGCTTGAGCTCAGGAGGTTGAGGCTGCAGTGAGCTATGATTGTGCCACTGCACTCCAGCCTGGGTCTTAAAGTAAGGCGGTGTCTCTGAGGAGAAAATTAGCCAGGTGTGGTAGCTCACGCCTGTGATCCCAGCACTTTGGGAGGCCAAGATGGGGGGACTACTTGAGGCCAGGAGTCTAAGATCAGCCTGGGCAACAGTGAGAGCCCATCTCTACAAAAAATAAAAATAATTAGCTGGGCATATTAGTGGCATATGCCTGTGGTCCCACCACCTGGGAAGCTGAGGTTGGCAGACTGCTTGGGCCAGATGTTGCAGGCTGCAGTGAGCTGTGACCATGCTGCTGATGGGAGGGGACAGCCTGGGGGACAGCCCTCCAGCCTGGGGGACAGCAAGACCCTGCCTCAAAAATCAGATGAGCTCTGTAGGGCTGCTGGTGCCAGCAGTCACGGGGCTCTCACCCCAAAGGGGTCCTTGATGGCTCCCCTGTAACGGGGCTGCCAGGGTACCCTCTCCACGAACCTGACACGAGAGCCTGGGCTGGGGGTTCTCGGACTTTCTTCTTAGGAGCTGGGCCTGCTGTTCTCCTATAGGAGTATTAACTCCATGTTCACACTTTGGTTTAGAGAGGATGGGGCCCTACCTCCCTGCCCAGGCCCTAGCCCGAAGCTCTTCCGTGCCAAGTGGAAGGTTCATTAGAACCACGGAGGGCCTGATGTGCACCTGCAGGCGGTGCTGGAAGCCACCTGGCAGCTGGGACCCCAAGTGTGCCCCTCACATGACAAGGCCCCAGGGAGGCCAGGGGCCCCCCTGGCTTCCAGAATCCTCCAGGAGCTGAGAGCTCCTGGTTCTTCTGTGCCTGTCACATCCGTGGCAGCACAGGGAGGATATGGACGGTTCAGGAGAGGTGGGAAGGGTAGGGGCCGGCGGGTGGCCCCAGAGAGCCTGGCTGTCCTCACCCCGCTGCCCTCCTGAGCTGGCTCCATCTGCAGCCTGGCGGGAGGAGGTGGCCAGGCCGAGTTGCCGTGGTAACTCTGGCTTCCTCCAGGGCCTTTGAAAACATTGCTTATTTTGTTTTGGAACTGTGGTCCAGATACTGTTTTGAGAGCTGTTCTGGGCCAGAGTAGGGCAGGTGGATGGGGGAACCCCATCCCCACAGAGACCTGGTTACAATCCCTGATTCAGCCACAGGAGCTGTGGGGCTGCTGGCCGCACCCCAGGCTCCCCGTGCCTCAGTGTCCCCCTCTGTAAAACAGAACTGATCATGGAACCATGCCTGGCTCAGAAGCCGCCCTGCAGGGGCTCATCCACCCCACACCCTCCCTGGCTGAGCGGGGACCACCCCTCTTGTAGCCTGGGCGCTGAGCCCTCTGATGGGCACACCATCCTCACAGAAAGCTCACCCTAAACCCAAAACCTGCTAATGGTGGGATTTCAGGCCACATGGCAGCTTCTTGCTGTGCTCTGGGAAGGGGCTTCTGTTCAGCCTCCAGGGCCATGTGGGGAGGTTGCCCCCAGATCAGCCCTGGCCCCAGGCCTCTGCTGAGGGTTGCAGGAAAGGCTGATCCTGACCTGTGGGGCCCGGAAGAGCCTGGGCCAAGACCAGGAAGGACCCAAGGGCCCATGTGACTTCCAACAGGGAAGAAGAGCTGGGTCAGGAGGGGATGGGAGGGGCAGCGGGAAATGGGGGTGACACCAATCTGCCCACCTCAATTGTCCCCGAGGCCACCACAAACAGGAGCCACCCTGGGTGGAAAAATGGGGCAGCAAGGAGTGCCAGGCACTGGGCAGAGGCCTCGTCTGGGTCTTGGTCTTCCCAACCCTAGCATGGACTCACAGGGGGACACGCTGAGCCAGAGAGGCCTCCAGCAGAAACCTTGAGCTGGAGCTCGGTGACCCTAATGGTGGTGATGGTCACCCCCGGTTTCTGGTTGAGGAAATGGAGGTGGTGGGGGGCTCCCCTAAGGCCACCTACAAGGGAGGGTCACGGCAGCACCAAACCCCCACGGGCCGTGGTGGGAAAGGCCGAGGTGCCCCTGCCCCATCACCAACCGCCTGTGGCAGGGCTGGAGTGCCCCCAGAGTCAGGAACGCAAAGGACACCTGCTCCCTGAAAGACACAAGACAGAGCCTGGAGATGTGTGGACTGGGGCGAGGAAGGGCCTGGGACAGGACCCTAACCCTGAACACATGCAGGACTTTCCAAATGCAACAGTAAGTAAAACGACCGCCCAGTCTTTGAAAGATGAGCAAAAGGCAGGAACAGACCCTTCCCCACAGAAGATAGATGCTCCACGTCACCAGTGATCAGGAAACCAGGGAAAGCCGAAGCAACGTCCCGGGCGCACCCACTGGATTGGCTACAACGAAAAAGGCCACCCACAGCAAGTGCCGACGGGGGAGGCACTCAACGGGGACTGCAAAACGGTCCAGACACCTTGAAACACAGTTTGGCAGTTATGTAAAACTGCTGCTTAAGTAGTGAAACCCACACTCACCACATGACCCAGCTACCCCACCCCCAGGTATTTACCCAAGAGAAATGAACTGAAGTTCACACAAGTCTTGTACACAAATGTTCTAGCAACGTTTCTTGTAAATGCCCCAAACTGAAACAACCCCTATGCCCGAGGACCGGTGAGCGGGAGAACCCTGGGTCCCTCGCACAGGTTTGCTCACATGGGTGCCTCCCTGCACAGCAGTAAAAAGGAACAGGTGACAGGCACGCCACAACATGGGCGCACCTCTGGGTAATTATGCTGAATGGAAGAAGCAGAACAGTAACAACTCGCAAGAGCCTTCTGAGTCCACCTGCAGTGGGATCGAAGAAAGGCACGCTGCCTACATCCACAGAGACGGTCCGGGGTTGCCTGGGATGGGGAGGAGGGTCAGGAAGCAGAGAT